CACAAGATAATTAGTGTGTGGACCATTTTCATTTATATAGTGCTCTGTGAACACAAATTAGTTAGCATAAATCAGTTAAATGACGAAAAATTAGGTGTCTGTTTACTTGTGACCACTCAGTGTATACTTTATCTTTAGAAATTGTCGCATGTCTATCCATCGATATGTAACGCCATTCGTTGGGTTAAAAAGATATTTAAGTACATGCATGATATGTTTACCATTTATATTATACCTGTATATACATGGGTTTTTATTGGACTTTCAAAATGAGATACCCACAGACCAGTCAGGTAAGCTGGAGAAATCTTGTAGCGATAGTCCGAGCTGTTTAGGCTCTAGCCCCGTTGACGTGATCAGGTAGGTAGGTAGGTACTAGACGAAAAAGTTGCAGTTTGAGAAATTTTTGAATTGTTATACTGGAAATGTTAGCGTATTATTAATATATATGAACATAATATATTGTAACCAATACTTTGAATGGTCGTTTTCGCTTAGGAATTCGATAGGGTGGTTTTTCGGCACGTGAATTATTTGGAATTCTTGTCGATCCCTACTATTAAGTACTACCATACTTAAAATTGTGATTTGTGGTGTTTCTTTGTTGGTTAGTGCAAAACCACATTGGGCTGCCTGTTGTGTTCGCCACAGGGATTTGAACCCCGGATTTTAGCGTTGTAAGTCCGTAAACTTACTGCTGTCCCACCAATAGGCATATTTGGATGTATTCTATTTTGATTTTATTATTTTCAGTTTCCCTTCATTTAATCATATTTTCAGTTTATTTAATTTTGAGGAATTTGGAGTTAGAAGTTCAATATATTTTGAGTCCAAAATTTATTTATTTCGAATCTGTTTGTTTTATCTTTAGTTGAATTTTATTTTCATTATTTTTTATACTTTAAATAGTTGCTAGTATTTTTGCGTTATCCATTGATTTCTTTGTGTAAGTGCCATGGCGTCTTGAGAGTCACCTGAGGAAAATCATTATTACATACCAAGCTTTGGCTTGCGCCTTGATTAGCAATGTTTACTTTGAATTTAAGGGTCTGGAAAGACCCTGAAATAAGAAGAGATTGGGTTACAGTTCAAGTAACTTCCGTGACTAACTTGGAATATACTTATAGTAAAGAATATCAAGGTACATTTTCTCGTAGGGATTCCTTATGTAGTTTTAAAAAATGAAAATACGAAGCTCTATAACACGAGTACTTTCAAAAGCTGGACTTTTCTTCCCTTTGTCAGGATATCGTGTTTTTTGCCTTTAACCGATTGTTTTTGAACCTATATGTTTTCCTAACATCTTTTATGATATTCTTGTGTGGTATATTCAGATAAAACTCATTTCCAGAGAAGTATCAGACAGGTAAACCCGCAAATAATAGCATATTCTATTAGAAAATAAGGGGAATGTTCTATAGTAGATAACTAGACTGAATCGTCCTAATGTGTGTCAAATAATGTTACTGGACAAGGGTGGTAAAAAAAACGAAAATAATTTTTATTATTTGACAAGCAAAAAGAAAATGCAATGCGTTTACTTGCACATACAAAAAGATAGTATCTTCTTTTAGGCTGTGCTTAGTTCCACAGCCTTCTCTCTCTCTTAAGATAGACCTCCGTCAAACTAAGTACATTGACACTGAGCGATCTCCTAGTGTGGAACTAGTGGATGAAACTGGTTTCCAGACAAGTATTAGATAGACGAATCCGCAATAACAGCAGATTCCGTCCTGGAGTTTAGAATGGTTTTCGTGAGAAATACAATGTTACTAAAATTTACCTTTAGTATGAAAATAATGAAGCTGGATTTGTTTTAAATATATGTAAGATATTTATTTTGACACAAAAAGAAAAAACAGTGCACGTACCCACTCTTGGCAAGCAGACTGTCCTCTTCTTCTCTTGGTAGCACTTAGTCCTGTCACCCTCTCTCAGGATCAACTACCACAGAATCAAGCATGATGATCTTCAAAAAAGAAAGCAGGCCATTCCCAAAGAATGACTAGTGAAGAATTGAACCAAAAATGCATAGTCGGGTCTAGAATGTAAACTCACTTTCTTTGTCCAGAGGACGGCGTCACTTCGTGAACTCTGTCTCTTAACAACATTAGTCAGATGACACTTTTGGTTAAAGCTATAACTGGCCAGCAAAAAATATTTCTGTGCTAACCTGGTCAACCAAGATGCCTCGTCTAATGCTGACATATCCTTCTGGATAGAGAAGTAATGTTAGAAAGTTTCTATACCACTTGTTTCCACCATGATAACGTGGCACTAAATAATCAAATATTCTTAAGATTTTTATATCACTATAGAAGGTAGAAAATACATGACATGCCTGCATACCACACTAGTAGAACTGGATAAAACAAATGTGTTCGAATTCAACAGATAGAGTCGCTTTCTTTGTCCAGTCGACAGTATCACCTTATGACCTTTGTCCCCTTGCAGCATTGATCAGCTGTTACATTCAGTCAATGTAATAATCAGCCAGCAAAGGATATTACAATTTTAACCCAGATGCTATACATATTATTGCAATATTCTTGTGAACAGAAGATATATCACTTACTTTAGAGAGCAAAGAAATGAAACAACTTTCTAGACCATGTGTTGCCACCATTATAACATGGAAACTAAATAAACAAAAATTGTTTCAACATTTCTACATCATTAAATCAGGTAGAAAACACATGATATGCACACATATCACACTTGTGAACCAGATATTGAGAGGATAAGCTAATCATTTTGCTTAGGTAAAGTTATATATGGTAATGAATATCTCATAGAAGGTAGTACCTGTCTGGCCCTTGTTTATGTCCACTCCCTGAGACAGAACAAGCCCATTTGACACAGACACTGGTGCAAATTGTGATGAGTTGAGGGTTCTCACTTTAGAATATATTACTTAGAATAGTCATTGACGCATGCAGTCTATGGATTATGGGAGACTGCGCTAAGACGACTTATCCAAATTGAAAGTTCAGTAAAACATTGTTCTTACTGTTTGTTGTGTTTTCACGTGGGAACTGATTTTCCAACAAGTATTGATTATTTATATTTGCAAATAAAAGCAGATTCGTTCAGGAACTAAAAAGAGTAATTTGTATCTGATAGTATGTGTGAAATAACGAGATAGGACAAGTTTAAGAAAATGAACACAATCTTAATCATAAAAAAGAAAACAAAGTGTACGTACTTGCGCACACGAAAATACAGTCACTTATTCTGGATCGTAAATTTGTGATTTGCTCCACACCTTTCTTTTTCTCGGGATAAACTTACGTAGAACTAAAGACAGTGATTTCCAAATATGACCACACTTGTCGATCTGAGATAGAAATTAAACCAAGAAAGTGGGCTTCAATTCAATAATTAAATTTGGTTTATTTATCAATTGACAACTTCACCTTGTGATATGTGTTTTCTCTCAAGTCAGCTGTAAGGTACCGACGATGTTGAGTCGGGCCAGCAAAGAATATCATAGTCGCTAGTCCTTTAAATCCAGATATTATACCTTAATGCAATATCCTCTTGGACAGAATAGACATTATCTATTATAGAGAACAAAGAAACAAAACAACTAGAACAAGGCAATCTAAACGACTTTCTGAACCGCATGTTTAGGCTAAAACTACATACAATCTAAATAAACGTCTTCCCCTCCTCCCTATCCTTCTTTATAACTAAAGTAGGCAGAAAACATATGCCTAAATAACGCACTGTCTCTATTCTGAGCAGACGTTTAGGAAATATTTCTTCAGCCCTAGAAGCCAGTAAACTCACAACAGACCAGAAACCGGCCAATTTAGTATCGAACTACTATGAACAAAGATTTGTTAACTTGTGTTTGTTTCTTGTTAAGCGCAAACTTACACACTGAAATATCTGTCTCTGCTTAATTTTAAATATCAGAGAATTAAAGAATCATTCACTTAAGAAGAAACTGTTAGAATATATGGATAATACTCTATTTTTTATATTTATAAACGAAACATTTACACAAATGTAAACAATATATATATATTTATTTATTTATGCTTTTTTACACGTTTCTTTTTCCATTCTGACACGTTTCGGTTTTTCTGGTTATAGGTTGGACTGAAGGTTATTCGTGTAGCAGCACGTTATACTGATCGAAGGCTAAGGATACAGAGGAATTAAGTAGCTTTTTCCTGGTTATATTTCACGAAAAGGTTCGTAATAACAAAAATTATGTGATAAAATTTCAGGAGAAAACATTAGTCTGTGCGTAGTACTGAAAATGTTAATATATGTATAGAGAGACATATTATTGAAATTCAAGTTTCATAACTTGCCTAAGACTTGTACTCGGGACACTAGCAGTAGTCGTAGAACTAGAAGCAGTAAAAATAAAACTTAGTAAAAGTAAAAACCCGTTTTAAGTTGTAGACGTAAGACTAAGAGATGATAAGATTAACTCATTAAGAGTAAAATAACCCTTCCATGAAACTTTTCAGGACTATTATTATTAAACTTTTATTTTTTGCATAAATCGTACCAACTTTTTTAAAATTAGTGTTCAAAAATTGCTAGACAAAAAGCTTAACGTTAAGTTTAAACTTAAAGTATTCGATTATATTTATACTAATATAGTTAATAATAAAAAAATCCTGTAACGGTCTGAGTTCGTAAGAGTAATTTTTCTTTTATAACACCACTTTAATAGAATGAAAGTATTCAATAATGTAGTTGTTATGTTATTAACCATATTAATACCATAAGAGTATATACCTTGACTCAAGGCTTGAGGCCATAGTAGTTAGTACTACTATTGCATGTAGTTGTTTTTTTGAGAAGTATATATTTGATGATGACGTTGAAATTTAACTTCTGAATATATTTTGTAAAATTAAAATTAATCTTTTTTTCAGATGTTAAGCTAATAATCATATACATCTGCATCAGTAGTTTGAGACTAATTATAAACTGTGATGCTTGTTTTTCAGATAAATAACACTAGAATGGCAAGTAATTTACTAAAAGTACCCATCTTTAGCAAGTTACCATCTTTAGCAACAAGAATTATTCTCCCTTCAGCTGCATACCATAGAGAACGAATAGGTAATCGTGAAGTGGTTGGGTTTGGTTTAAATGGTGAACCCAGCTATATAGATAGAACAGATTTTCCTATGCCAGCTATTCGTTTCAAAGAGAACTCGCAAGAAATAACAACTCTTAGAGAAAAAGAGAAAGGTGATTGGAAAGAACTGTCAATGGATGAAAAAAAAACACGTAAGATCAAAATTTTGTCTATTTTTCACAAGAATTTTGGTGAGATCCAAGTTAATTAATGGTGTCTTTTGTGACCATTTTTTATGTGCAGAATATTACCACAAGATATAATTATCTTTCATCAGGTGTGATTTTTTTTGTATGATATGAAATGTGATATGAAAGGGGACAACTGCCCAG